AGCCAATCGTTTTGGCATGTGCCCATATCCCCATATACCCCCATCTAACCCCGATGTAAGCCTATCCCTAAACCCTATATAACCAAGTATAGTAATTTCCATTTCCATTTCCAGTATCCCGACATAACCCCAATATAACCCTATTATACTATAGTAGTTTAAATTAATTTGCTTTTCCATTATCCCAATATAACCCCAGTGTAAGCCTGATATTAACCCCCCTAAACCCTAAACCCAACACCCTAAACTCAAAACCCAAAACCCAAAACCCTAAACCCCAATGTAAGCCTGATATTAACCCGCCTAAACCCTAAACCCAAAACCCTAAACTCAAAACCCTAAACCCAAAACCCCAAACCCCAATGTAAGCCTGATATTAACCCCCCTAAACCCTAAACCCAAAACCCTAAACGCCTAAACCCTAAACCCTAAACCCTTAAGCCCCACCTTCGGTGGGCTCCTCCGACTTCTTCGAGTCTGCCTGGAGCTCCTCCAGGTCTGGCTCTCCACCTCATAATACCTACATTGGGCCCCAAACCCTACAAATAGTACCTACATGGAGCCTTAGGGCTAAGGTTCGAATTATATGCGGCTTAGGATTTAGGGTTTGGGGATTAGGGTTTAGGGTCTGTAGGGTTTAGGGTCTATAGGCTTTATTGTTTAGGGTTTAGGGTTTAGGGATTAGGGTTTGGGGATTTGGGTTTGGGGATTAGGGTTTAGGGTTTAGGGTTTTTAGGGTCTTAAAGGCTTTTAGGATTTATACGGTTTAGGGTTAAGGGTCTATAGGGTCTAGGGCCAGTGTCTAGGGTTCGAATTATAGGCCCTCAGGCCGTTTGGGGGAATTCTAGAGACCCCTAAGGGTACATATAGAGTATATAGTAGTAGGTATATAATAAGGATCCCAGGGTTAAGGGCCCATAGTTTGTTTCAACCTCAGCCAGTGCTTTTGTCAGCTTAGGGGTTGAGGGTTCCGGGTTTAGGGCCTGGGGTTAAGGGTTTAGGATTCAGGTTTCAGGGTTTAGGAGTTCAGGGTTGAGGGTTCAGGGTTTAGGGTTCAGGACGGTTTATAGTACGGCCACCACCCAGGAACAGGCAATAATAAGGATAAAATCAAGGCCAATACATACTTGCAATAGAACTAGTCTCCGATTGCTACTGAGTGGGGCGTAGTATCCCCGTGATGAGTGGCATATAGGATTATGGGTAGATCCCAAAGTTCGCGTCCCATTTTGGTACAACAGATGCCATAGTTTGAAGCACGACCCATACCATAGGGATGTTACATATATATATATATATAGATAGAGATAGATAGATAGATTTGTATACCTATGATTCAGGGCTTGGGATGAGGTCTTTGGCTTTAGGGTCTAGGGCTTAGCATGACTTACCTGGGCCATCTAACAAGGGATTTAGGGTGTGTACATAGGGTTTAGGGTTACTTACCTTTGGAGAACGAAAAGAGGCGATACGAGTTGCAGGCAAAGTGCCGGTTGCAGGAAGGACTGTGAGGGACCGCGGAGTTAGGTGATAAACTACACCTCAATAATGAGGCCGAGAGAACCTTGCTGCCACAGCTTAAAAGCAGGTTTCAAAACCAACTACAAGCGTCAAGGTCCCACAGAGTAGGCGGGCGAAGTAGATAGCACGAAAGGAAGCAGTTGGCTGTACTTGAGCGGTTGCCAAACGTTGGGCCCCAAAGTCCATACATATTGCCTGTGTTGCATCCAGGTAGGTCTGGCAGATGACTTGGGCTACCTACAGCAGTCGCTATACGGGACCATCGGATTTAGTCATATTATGCCTCGGGTCTTTCCACCTAGCTTTGGGAAATCTGTTTTTGCAGGATTAAAGCCCCATAGCAATGCACCCAGAACCTTGATATCATGGTAGCATAGTTTGATGAAGGTCATGCAGGATTTTGACCATCACCAGTAGCGAGAGTGATGTCAGTTCTTGCAATAGCACTATCCGAATAAGGTACGGCCCAGACTTGAACACGAATAGCCATGAGTCCCATGGACGGGCTTTGGTAATCCAAAACCCATCAAAATGGAAAATACCATGAACAATGGAAAGGAGCGTGCGCTGATGTAAAGGTTTATGGGGATTGTTGGTATATCCACGATTTATCCCCCCGCAAATAACATGGCAATTGCCAGGGGCCGCGTTGTGAACGCTACTGCCATTTAAAGGCTCCAGTTTAGTTCTGGAGAGAGTAGTGTCCATCGAAATCATATCCACTTTTTGTTGTCTTTTCTGAGTGATTTGGTGAAGGCCATGAAATTTTCCGAAGTCAACCTGTTTTCAATGACGTTATGTATAGATTCCTGCGATTGGGGAGGTAGCCCTGGAAATCTCAGAAGCTTCCCTGCTGAGATACCCTCTCCGATGCCCTACCAAACTTGAAAACTGGCCCCGGCTTTGCAAAAAATGATGGCGAATGGTACATAAGTGCAAGAATGGAAATAATGGTAGGACAAATTATAGTACATGCAAGCTGTGCCAGGCCGTGCCCTGTGGCCTTTGTCATTATCCTTTGAGGGGGGTGGGAGGGCAGGATTCAGGGTTTGGGGTTGGGTCACATCATTAGGATCCAAAACACCTGCCCAGCAAAGGAACCTCTGAACTTGCAAACTAGCGGCCA